CTACAGACACAACATCTTTTGGCTCTCCAGCTTCAGGGAGCTTCAACATATACCAGAATTGAAAGAGCAGGAGCCCAAGCTGATCTTCTTTAACCGTTGCTAACAAGGGGTGCTAAGTGCAAAGAGAGGGAAATGCTGACACAAAACCCTTGAGACGGGAGGAGGCTGCACACGTGAGACCCTGTGCGGGCAGGAGAAGCAGGAGCCTGATGAGCACAACCCAAACCCTGCTCGGTGCTGTCCCTGCCGACAGCAGAGAGCTCTGCTCTGCAGCCTGCTCCCCCTCAGCGCCTGGGCAACACACACAGCAGAACAGAGGTGTCACCAGAGAAGCCCTCGTGTGTCATTCCCAATACCAAACTCTTCTGAAACTTTGAGAGGCTCTGACGTACAGATTTGGCTGTGGGGTTGTTTTCCAATGAGTGCAGGCAACGAAAAGACACATCCTGCACTCTGCCCCAGCTGGCTTGATGCTTCCTTTGCAAAAGAAAATACAGAGGGAAGAAAAGAACTTGAATAGTGCTACCAGAACAGCTCTGTGGCACTGCTTCTAAGTCCAGAAGATGAGATTCAGCAAAAAAGCAAGGCCTGGAAGATCAGGAATAAGACAAGCCAACAGGTTTCACCTCTTGGCACACAAACTGCGCTTCCCTAAGGAGGCACCAGAGCACGGGGCAATGAGCCCCAGCAGCTCCCCAGGGACCAGGGACACAGGGTGAGCAGGAAGCCCAAAATCAAGACCCCAAACCTAAACTACTATTTTAAATGCAAAGGAAACATTTCCTGTAAGAGCAAACAACTGTTTTGGTGACTGTGTTTTAGAATGAAGGAGAGATGGTTCTCTTTGGGCAGCAGAGCACTCCCCTCATATGATCAGATGACACACAACTGTGATCAGACTTGTGTGGAGGGGCAGACACAGACCAGGATCTCAGGTGACCCATGGTTGTGGAATGGTTGGACTAGGTGATCTTAGTGGTCCTGTGATGTGGCCTGTGTCAGAAGGCTGGACCTTTCCATTAAGCACAGCAACTCTGAGAGAGCAAGGAAAGAACTGAGTGCACCCCTGCAGCATCTGCCTGTGCTTTCCCATGGGACATCCGAGATTTCCAAGCACAGGGAATGTGCTCCTGGCTGTCAGGAGGGCTCTGCTGCTTTCTGTGCCTCCTCACTAGCAGCACCTGACCAAGGGGTGCACAGGCCAAAAACACACACAGCTCCTCCTGCTACCTCTGCACCTGCCTGGATTTCAGAGTATTGTCAGCAGACTTGGATGAAGCAACACCCTTTCTCCTCCTGGCTGCCCAGCCATGGAATGAACAGGATCAGGAAACCATTCTGAGTTTAAAATGCCCCTTTTCTGCTGGTTTCACACACAGCTTCAGAAGCAGCTGTACAGGCAGAACTGAGGGTGCAGTGCAGAGTTTGCTTAAGCAAGAACTGCTTTCCAAAAACCTTGGTACTCCCAGAGGTGTGAAGAGTCCTGCAGGCTTCAAGGAGATCTTACCAGCTGACGAAGAACACTACAAAAATGAAAGGCAGCCAAAGACACCAGGTCCTGGAGGGAGTGTCCTGTTCATAGGAAGAGGTTCTTGCATTCTCTAACACCAGAAGTCCAACACTCCCTATTTCATGATTATTCCATTGAGTAAAACACTGAAACTAAAACCAGGATTTGACTAAAAATTGCTTAGTGGCTTTTACAGAGATTATCACCCAGAAATCAGGAGAGGGATGATGAAGGGTAACCTGTTTCTATGACTCTCTGGGACAGCAAATCAAGACTTGGAAAGAATCAGTGTTTAAAATGTTAACTGTCACTGCTGGCTTCAAAAACAACAGGGCAGTGAGTGTAAGTGCACTTGTTTTGAATATCTGTCAAAAATATTCATCATCCTTTCCTGTTGCAAGAGCAGGAAAAGCAGAAGCATGTGGTTTCTCTTTTCCAAAGACACTTGTAGCTACGTTTACAGCTTCAGACTTCAGCTTCCCCTTTTTGCAGTTTAACCTTTTCTAACCTGATCTCACCCCGAGGCAGAAATTCCCCTGCCTGACCACCAGCTGTGGCTGCTTTTCCACAGAGCCCCTCCTACAGCACAGACCCAGGTGGGTCTGTGGGTTTGCCTTCCATGGGCAAAGCAGCTGGAGCTGCCAGGGGAGAGCAGTGACCACTGTCCTTCTGAGCATGTTCCTCTGGTTACGGACTCAATTCAGACTGTCAAATGGCAGTGTTGGGTTGGAAAGGAAAGAGAAGCTGAGAGGCTGTCACTGGAGCAGCAAACACTCCAGCAGAAGTGAAACCAACACAACTCGGAGCTTGCGGGTCAAAGTCCAGCAACGTGTTGGCTGAGACCTTTTCCTGTCACCTCACCCCTTCTCGGCCGACCCTCCCCAGTCTCTACCAGCCCCCCAGCCCAAGATGACTTCCAGACTAAAACGTCTCTCACTGTAGCCCTTTCTGCACGACCACGGGCACCTCACGCAGGCAGGGAGTGCATCGCAGCCCTGCTCCCTGCCCGGAGCTCGCTGAGCCTCTGGGCAAAGCCACAGAGCAGCGATTTTGGGGATGGCCCGGGGGGCTGCCCTGCCCCGGAGAGCACTCCCGGGTCACAGGCTTCA